TCTTTTGAAGTTTTAGACGGAGCAAAACTTAGCAGTGAACATCTACAACTTCCATCAGACCCAGTCTTTATTATCAAGTACAAATAAATGGATTTTTTGAGTGGTTTTGTTAGGCTGTGTTTGAAGCCAGAGTCCACTGAAAAGTATCTTCCAGATATTGGGTCTGTAATAGATGCACTTGCATCTATTACTGATCATTGCAACATTATCTTAATTATTTTCATAATCATTTTAAAAGTTTGACTCAGGTTAATAGCATCCTTATAGAATGTGCAGTGTAGAGAGCTGCTGAAATGGGAGATGTTACTCTCTTGATAGTCTGTGGTTGTGAAACTTGCTCTACACTCATTCCTACAAATTACCAGAATGGCTACCATCAAGTTAAGTGCAAACAAATTGTAAAAATAAGTTAGTGGTTATCCCTGCTGTGTGTGTACATTTTCAGATTAAAATACATTGATTTTATTCTATTCTTAATCTTAGTGCTTGATGGGCATTTTAAAGAGGATGGTAATTTCTGTCTTTCCTTTAAAGCTTCTCACAGCAGGGTGTCCTGAAAATGTTGCAAACATGAATGATCAGTTAAGTCTTCAGAAAGCTCTATCGTCTTCGTAAGTGGTTTTGTAATGACTAGTGTAGTCCTTAAAATATATTGTGTGCAGTTACTCTTCTTACATTCTTTAATGACAATCTATTTTTAATAAAGCCATTTAGCTTGGTTAATTAGAGTTAGTAATAAATATCCTAGTCTGCTGACTAATCTTAGAAAATATCTTAGACCACACTAATTGAAAATGAGGCTGCAAGATTAACTGTATGTGTATATAAATGGGCTTTTTATCAGCCTTATACTTGCAAGAAAAGTCTTATGAAGAATACAGAAAGTTGCCTCTTGATGCAAGTCATAGAGCTCACCTTCATGGAAAACATTGTTGGGGGCAAAAAAAGGGCTATGGAAACTAGAAAGTAGCCCATGCCAGTAATCTCACAGAGGCTGGTTGATAAAGCCTTCATTCCCAGTTCTAGTCTGGTGTTTTATGTCAGTAGCATGCCATATATCTTCTCCAGTTTTTTTTCCTTGAGAATTCTTGCAACCACTGAAGCTTTTTTCTCTACAGTTGAGCTCCATGTGGTGATACAGCTTCTCTTCACTGTCCGGTGTGCCTGGGAGCTTCCTCATCCTTCTCGGCTCCTGACGTCTCAGGTCGAAGTAGATCATTCTTAATGCCACCTGAACTGGTGCATCCTGCTGCATGGTGCTAATCAAATGTAATTCCCTCTTGGAACTTACAAGCGTTTTTTCAGCTTTTCTAAGAATATCACTGGAGCAGATTGTAAAGCCAGCACAGACTCAGATACTCTCAGTTTAATACTACTTGATCATACTTGTATAATCCCCTTATTGGGACATGTCAGCTGTACATAGGTGAGATCGAGTAGACCATATATTTGTGAGATCAGACTAAGATCTGGTTTTGATCAGACCTATTGCAGTGACCTGCAATAGTTCAGGCTGTACTCTGTGTCCAGTACTAAAATACATGCATTTAATTCTGTCAGTTTAGCTCTATCACCCAGTTTCATAGCAACCAGTGTTTTCTTTTGGTCTGGAGAATCAATTCAGTAATTTAAAGCACAGGGTTAACCATTAATGATTTGATGGTGAAATGTAGTTAATACTCACATGCAGATACTGACAAAAAAACCCACTTCATTCTGTATCAAGAAATACTATCAAGATATTTTCAGCAGAGCTGGTAGTGGTCTTGAAGTCATGTTACAAGTTTTGAGTACCATTCCATGTCATTTACCTGCCTAAAAGCCTGGCCAATTCTTTCAAGCTGATTGTAAATAAGTGCAGTTGGGGATGCCAAGCACCTGTTTGAAAGTACTCTGAAGTCTCTTATTTCAGTGTCAGTATGAAGAGCCATTCTCTCTAATTTAGGGCTAACTTCTTTATGCTAAGTAGTTTTGTAGTTCCCTATTTGGGAAAGGTGATATGTTTGTTTACTTCTCTCCGTAATCCTTCTCATGCTGCAATCCATCCTGCCCTTTAACTGGCAAAGCCAGTTCTGGCTGCAGGAAGCCTGTGTTCTTTTGCTGAAGAGCCTGAACACACAAGTCTACTCATGTCTGACTCGGCCAGTTAGGAAGGTTTGTTGTGGCAACCTCAGTTCCCTCTGTCTGATGGGCATGCAAGCTGAATATCAAGTCTGCAGTTGATCAATAAAGCAGGAGTCTCTCTGCTGTGTCCAGGGAACTAGAATTTCAGTTCCTAAACTGGTACGGTCCAGCAATTATTCTGTGGTTCTTATCCCTGTAGTTTTACTGCTGGAGCTGAAGAAAACTCTACTTAACAGTTCACGGTATCTTAGTAGTCTGGTGGTGCTCAGTATTTTAGTCTTCTCTTGAATATATCAATATATATGGTATATCCAGGATTTGGACCTTTGTGGGAATCCAGTTCTGCAGTAGATCTTAAGCTTGTTGTACGTGAATTTTTGCTAAGCAATCCACTTCAGTCAACACCTGATTTGATGTTCCATTATGTGATGATGAGGATGTTGTTCTTGATGTCACCTCTACCAAATGAGCTGTCTCATGTATGCATGTACAGCATACTTATAAGATGTCCTGTTCCACATAGACAGTTATCTTAAGAGTTCATTCTAAATTTATGTCTAATTAGTTTCATCTGCATTATCAAAATTAGCTTTCCTGTTTGTTCTTGAAGCCACAGACTTCCAGGACTGTGACCTAAATGTTAGGTCTCTCCTTTTATGATAAGCAAACAAGAGCCTTGACGAAAGGGCTTTGCTTTAGGTCTGTAACTGATCCTTACAGAGGCGCAGAATCAAGGCAGATGCTGTCTCCCTGGGTTGCTGCTTTAGAGAGGCTGTTAAAAAGCTGGAAGTCTGGAACTGCTGGCTGGTGTCATCAGTGCTGTTGAACAGCATCAGCAGCTGACTTGGAAAATGTCACCTCTGAACTGCAGCCTGGAGTTCCAGTTCCCTCTTCATCAAGTGTGACTCTGGTGGTGAATTTTATGGGGGATTATGTGGCATGTGTGAAAGTGATCCTTCAGTCTTTATTCAAGTAGAGAAAAGGATCTTCTTACCCAAGTAATGGTGACCTTTGGGAAATACTACCTGGAGTTACTCACAGTCTAGATCTACATATGTGCCTGAAGTCAAAGGAGGAAAAAGGTTATTCACTTGTAGCTGCTCTCCTTTGCTTTTTATGTTTATACATGCATATGTAGCCCTCCTCTCTGTATGATTTTTCCATTTATAATCATAGTGGAAACTCATTTAGCTGATAAATCAGTGATCACACCACAGCTCATGTTGCACTGAGCTTGATAGTAGGACTGAACTTTATTCTTTTCATCTCTGGTATGGGAGGTATGCATAAGAAAAGTAGAGGAGGATGTAAAATATAAATGAGTGGGTTTGGACAGCAAGAAGTAGCTCTTACAGCCCAGGATATGGCTGGCTTTCTAGGCATGAATCCAGAGCAGTTTGGCCAGCAGGTCAAGGGGGAGGATTCTCCCTGTCTACTCTGCTCTCCTGAGACCTCACCTGGAGTGCTGCGTCCAGCTGTGGGTCCCCCAGCATCACAAGAATATTGACTGCTTGGAGGGAGTCTAGAGGAGGCCATGGAGATGCTCCGAGGGCTGGAGCCGCTCTGCTATGGGGACAGGCTGGGAGAGTTGGGCTTGTTCAGCCTGGAGAAGAGAAGGCTCCGGGGAGACCTTACAGCACCTTCCAGTACCTGAAGGGACTGACAGGGAGGCTGGGGGAGACTTTTCCCAAGGGCCTGTAGTGACAGGACAAGAGTTAATGGGTTTAAATTGAAAGTGGGGAGGTTTAGATTGGATATCAGGTAGAAGTTCTTCCCGGAGAGGGTGGTGAGGCACTGGGACAGGTTGCCCAGAGAAGCTGTGGATGCCCCATCCCTGGAAGTGTCCAAGGCCAGGCTGGATGAGGCTTGGAGCAACCTGGTCTAGTGGAAGGTGTCCCTGCCCATGGCAGGGGGGTTGGAACTAGGTGATCTTTAAGGTCCCTTCCAATCCAAACCTTTCCATGATTCTGTGTATTTGAGGAGCTTCTGGCTGCCAGTTGATGAAATTGAAAGGCTTCTTTTAATCACGAGATGATCCAGGGCCGGGTAGATCACTGCATCTTAAATTGGAAGTTTAAACTCACTGTTAAACAACTTAAAAATATTTTTTAAGGGAAAAATAATTAATTTACCTGAATTTTGACTGTCTTCCACAAAATATTTATTAAAAACAGGTTTTGTCCTGAATTTAATATAGGGTATCTTATGCTAACAGTTTAACATGTTTCCTTTTTAAACATAGTATCTTCTTCCAGTAACAGGTATATAAATGACACTAACAGTACAAGTATTAGTCACTGTACGCTCACGTTGTTACACAAACTTCGAACAATGTTGACATCAAAATTTAATTTGCCATTTTTTACTGTATCTCTCTCTATCCAGAGTGTCAAGTTGCTGCTTCACCACTGCTGTTATGTTGACTTCCGTGTGTGTGGGGTGTTTTTTTCGTGTTTTGGGGCAAGAAAGAGTTTTTCTGGTGTAAATTGTGAATTTCGTTTTGGTTGCAGCTGATTATTAGTACTGATGGTTGATTTCTGTCTAGAGCAAATGCTGTATCGGTATACCTCTGTAGAACTTAGCTTGTAGGAATGTAATAGTAAAAGAACAAACTAATCAAGTATTCAGTTGTTCACCACAGACCCCAGTCTTCCAGTTCTGCCTGCACTTAGTCAGCTTTAACAATATGTATCAAAATTAATAAAATCAGGACAACAGTGATTTTAATAAATTGATGAAAATTAAACAGAGGAGAAAAGTAGAGTGGAAAGTAAGACAAATTTGTGTTTTCAAAATAGTAACAAAAGTAGTACATTGTATGAACTTAGGCAACATTTTGAGAATTTTTTTTTGTTTAATTTTTCCCCTCCCCCCAGGATTCAGAGTTTCATGTTGATACACGAGTGAGCCCATACCTCGTTCATGCTGAAGAATATACTCAACCCCTGAAATCTGGAGAGTACAAACCGAGCAACCTTTTAAAAGTGCACGACTTAGCAGTGAGCTGGTAGGAACCATTAACACTACATTAATTTTATTGTTATATACGTGTTGAGTTTTATTTTTCAACAGGTCATTGAGAAGCATTTGTGTTAAGTAAATTTCTGAAAAACTACTGGCAGCAGTCAGGGGAACGTTATGTCTGAAGGATGTGAAAGTGAACATGATCGTGAAATTTAGTGGGAGCGTAAATACAGTAAAACACTGGGGCAGAACCGCTTATGGATTGAGATTCATCTTTTATGTTAGAAGGGTGGAATTTGGTTAGTAGATGCAAAAATGGGAACCAGGCATGGCTCTAAACTCAGGTTGCAGGAATCTGAATTACAATGCCACATATTTTTGCGGTTTGTATTTGATTGCAGTTTATTCCCTTGGGTCAGAAATCAGAAGAGTTCAAATTTCAATTAGCCTGAGTGTGCAGATAGCCTGTAAGCAATGGTATTGTGGGGCTTGCTAGCTGCAGCTGAGGAAGAAAAAAACATAAAAATGTTTTTTTGTTTAAAAAAAAAAATAAAAATTAGAGCCGTTAGTAGAGTTGGGACAATTCTGACACATTCAATGTATTTTAAAATTTAATTTAAAAAATAATCAATACTTTTGTTGTTCTGATAAAGTTTATGTAGCTTGGTGCTGTTCTTATTGCACTCAGATTGGTAGTAGGTTACTTCTGAAGATATCTTCCTAAAGAAAAGCTGTATTCCTACAATGCTTCATTTTAAAAGCTTGGTTTCTTGTTGCATCCAAGAAACTTGATCTAGTTATGCTTTAAAAGTCAGAAAACTCTGGCAATGTAATTCTCATGCAGATTGAGTTTAAGATTTGACTGACATTAAAAGAATCAGTGTTGTGAGGAAACAAGAGTAGTACGCCATATAAACTATGCAAAATCAGAGCAAAGTACAGCTGGGCACAAATTAGAATATGCTGATGTGGGTGTAAGTTAAATCTTGTCTGTGGAAATGGAGATGATATTAACACAATTGGTAATTACGATGCAAGGGTGACGGATACTTTCCTAAGGTGGCTGCCCATATTTTGTAATAAATACCCACCATATCGCTTTGAGTTTTGGCCTGGCTGGGCATGCTTCTGCTTAGTCTCTCAGATGCTGACTTCTGGTTTTATGTATGGCTAATCCCTATCCTGCATGTGTAAGGTAATAGTTTGAATAATTTTCTCTTGTCCTGTATGGTCATATTGCTCTAATCAGGAAAGACAACTTCCAGCTGGAGTCTCTGTGCTGCTACTCCAAGGCAGCTGCAGGAAATCCACCCAAAATATTAGCAGGGTTTGGACTTGTCTGAAGAACACTAGGTGCAGGAATGGTGTGTGGTTTTAAAAAAAAAAAAATCAATCTGGAGGAGGTGGAGGAAGGAACTTGCACACTTCATAAGACTGAGTGAAGCAGGTAAAATAATGGTCAAGATGTAACTGTGGCGGGCTGCACTGTCACAAGGTTTACATGCGTGGCGGGCTGCAGAGGGGCAAGTCTCAAGTAATCATCTGAATTTTAATGTTTGTCTTGTTAAAAGTTGTGCCTTTTTCTGTAGTAGAAAGCCAGGTTGGAGTTGTAAATTACTTCTGAATGTTGTTGACACTACTTGTGAATGTCAAAATATATAATATGTAACCAAAAATAGTAAAAGTTGATAGGCTGGTCAAGAAGGGACACATCTACCTAATTTTTTTCAGTTATCCTACGTTTTAACAATAACAAATACTGTACATGTTCATGTAAAACTACTTCTAAAACTATTACTTGTGTTCCTTATCTTCAATTATATTTTTATATCTTACTGAAAGCCTTGTTCTAATCCTTTATATCCAGTGCTTCTAGTTATTCTTAGAGATACTCTCATGTACTGGGGAATTCCAAGTATTTTCTGCATTTAATACCTGCATATCACACCTCAAGGATATAATGCTACTTGAGAAAGCAATTTAGTGGAATAAAAATGAATTGGCTGTCTTTAACCTTATTTGGAAACACTTTACAACTTTCTTGGAGATACAGCAACTAAACTGAAAAAAAAAAAAAACACCTGAGTATGCTTATTTAATTTCATATACTGGTAATATTATGTTGACTTTCATGTAAAGATAATGTTTTAAAGAAAGTGAGAGTCTGGGATAGTGGTCTAAAATTAGCTGAAATGCTTATTTAAAAATGTAAAAGTATAAAAGCCTATGAAGAACAAAACTTTAAAGTCTTCTTGAAAAAATGTAAATGATATAATTGAACTTAGCTTAAAAAAAAAATCTGTGTACATGGTGGACCATAGTTTTTACATGTTTAACTGAAAAAAACATTTAAAATTTAGTCATTTCAATTAACAGAGTTTTTTCTATCTGAATGCCACTACTTAAAATCAATCTTAAGTGGTTGAAAAGATTGGCTTTCCTTTGTTTGTCTCGTTCATGATAAAGGCTACGTTGTAGCATGGTTTGCTAAAGGTAGATCTTTTTTTGATAGCATGTCCTGCAGGTTTTTTTAACACTCTGCCCAGTTTAAAACAGATTTGACAGGGGAGTAACAGACTCAGAAGTATTGAGGTTCCCATATGTTTCAAGGGAAGACATCCCTGTTGAAGAAAAGGGTCACTTTTAGTACCCTGTTGGCTTCAGGTGGCTGAGAATCCAAAGAAGTGAGAGAAGTTGTAGATGTTCTTTTTGGTAAGAGCTTCAAATGGAGCTCGTACCTTATTAGATGCTATAGAATCCAGTCTCAAGGCACACAGGTAATGCGCACAGAGCTCAGGTTATCATTTTTAGTTTGACAGAGCAGCTATTCAGTCCTGAATCTTGCTTTCCTTGGAAGTCCAAGAAGTTATTAAATGCATAAATCGAGATTTTATTTTTTTCTCCCCCAGATAAGAATGACTTAGATAAAATTCCCTGTATAGGGAATTAAATAAAAATGGCCCATTTAAAGAAATTCTGAACCTTCACTGAATGTATTTATAGTCATTATTATTGTCTGTTTGATTTTTACAGACAGAAGATGGAAATCAGTATCCACTAGATGAGAATTAATTCTTTCCTGTAGTTCTTAAGATAAATGGAAAACATTCTCTTGGCTTAGGTGACCGAAGTTAGCTTTTTTGCTTTAGGTTTTTCCCACCAGAACCAGTGTATCAGTAAGGCAGAACAGAATCTGGTTTGTGTATGTGTACTACTAAGTTCCTTTACGTTTCTCCAGAAACTGGAGCAACTACAAATCCAAATTCACAGGTTTTGTGTTTTAAAGCTGGTGTAGATTAACACTTTAGACCTTCATCAGTGTTCATTGGAACTCTTATTTGAGGAGCGGGAAAAGTAGTCCCTTGGGAAACCATGTTTGTTCTCTGCTAAGCTGACTGTTTTTCCCACTTTTCAAATAGTCATAGGCATTCCTCTTCTGCATGAAGCTTGCATTTCTCCAGTGTCCTAAATATCCTGGTAAATCTTAGTCTGCCTACAAGAATCACTGTAAGATCTCTACCTAAATGACCTTCCCAATCTCACTTGCTTACCCTTCACTCTCTCCTCACCTGCTGTCTGCATCTTCATTGTAACCCCAAGGGGATGACATGACTTTCCATGGAAGGTACTCCTACAGTCCATTATGGTTTATAATGTCTTTGCTGGGGAAAAGAAAGATGCCCAAGCAAACATTATTCAGTGCATTTTCAATGGTGAGTGCAGTCTTGGAAAATAAGAAAATGGCATATATTATTTTGGAGAGATGCTTATCTAAGACGCAGCTGAAAAATTAGTAATGGCATGAGAGTTTCAGATTAGTACAATACTATATTTGGCATATAACAATGTATTTGTAGATAGAAAATGGTTTTATTTCTCTTGTTTAAATCTCAAATCAGAAAAACAGTGTTATGGAGATGCTGACTGTTTGCAGTTTATGACTTTTTTTAAATACCCCTTACCTCAAGCAATGTAAGAAGTAAAGGCTCCATCACCTTGCCTTTTTTTGCTAATTTAAGATGTCATTGTCTTGTCTTCCTTCTTCCCTCCCATGTTTCACACAGAAGTTATGATTCCCCATTCAAAGTTTATTTGATGTTCACCTTGTATAGTAATTGCTATAAAAATGCCGCTTTTGATCTTGGGTAGAATTCCTGAAGTATATGGCCAAATATTTTACATGGATGCTTTACCTAGTAAGTGTACTTGCATAAATAGAAAAATGTATGACATATTATTCTTGCTTACGTGTAACCTCATGTTGCAAATCCTTTATCCTTGTTCCGTGTTTTCTAAAAGAACAAGATAATCACAAATGCTCTGCCTAGGCACTGTAAAAATATGAAGATAAAGATAAGAAAAGGAAATGCAAAATATTTAGGGACTATCTAGGCTTTCCTGGTGGGCTCAGTTAAAGATAACTTTTCTATAGGGACTAATTCATCGTTATATCCTATTATTCTGGTTTCCCCAATTTTTTTTTATCGGTGGATTCCAGAGGAGATTTTTTTTTTAAATCTTATCTGCTTGGGAAGCATGCAAATTGACTTGCAGCATCAAATTGTGTAGGTGATTATGGGACTTACTCACAAATTGAAATTAAAATTACGTGTGCCTTGTGCAACTTTGTGGAGGAAATGAGTACAAATTCTTTCCCTCTTTAGTTCATCTCTACTACTTTTTCTCCTTTTCAACCTATAAATACACTTGTACTGGTACACACAGATGCACAGACACATGCATGCACTAGAATAATCTTTGCAGGAAAGAGAATTCTTTGAGTATTGACATGAGGACTTATGTCGAAACTGTGTATAAATTTGCTGTAAAAAGATGATAGTGATTTGTGTTGTCTCTTTAGAGTTTCAAGCTTTCCATTTCCATAGTAAGGTGGTGAGGCAGAGACAATGTGACAGTCGTGTGAGGAACCATGCATTTTGCTGTGTCGGTCAAACTTTGGTATCTGGGCTGTGCTCTGCTTTCGTTCCCGTTAGATATACCTCCCAGTTTTCTTTTGCATTCTCAAACTGTTGTTTTCATAGA